CTCAAAGTTCAAAAGAGAGCATTAGCTTCAAGGACGTAAATCACTAAGTTGTTATCCATCAATTTGTAATAGAAGTGCAGATGAACAACATTTATCTACACCATCTAGTATCATTTACCTGTAGATTGAGGTAGGTCTATCTAAGGGCTTATGTAAGGTACTTTGAACTGTTTTGCAGAGATGAGAGTTCAAGTTTAATTTTAAATTTGAGTAGCATTTGGTTTTGTGCACCTTTCTTGCCAGTCACTATTAACCCAATTTTGTCTGCTCTTAAAACCAGGCTAAGTTCTACTTACCTGTGGAGCTGTCTAAGATTAATCAGGTTATTTACAAAGGAATTTTTTATGCACCCTATTTTTATTATTTATTTCATGTATTCCTTATTTTTTCCCCTGCAAGTTGGCTGTGAGCTTTGTGGGTCTAACTCCATATAGCAGGGCTTATGAAGTCAGATACTTAAATGGATCACTGAGTGATATAGTTAGGTCCATGCAAAAGGGAGAGCTGATGCTTACTGCTTACAATCAGCCTAATTCTAATTAGTTCTTACCTCAAGAATTTGAGCTTCTTGTTGCTTGAACAAAATGTATCTTAGCTTTGTTTGTGATTTGTCAATTTGTTACTTCTTTATCAGAGCATAGCTCTGAATATAAGGAAATGATCAATACTGGATCAGTACTTGATCGATACTAGATATTTGATTGAGAACTACTTATTGTGTCATAAAACTGGCTGCACTACTCTTGAAGGATTACCTTATATGTAATAACTGATACGATGTAAAATGTGTAGATATGTTCTTTTTAAAAAATCCCTCCTTTTAAAAGAAAATGTGTACATTAATTCTTACAGTAATCACCAAGCTGGGATACTGAGACCTCATTGCTTTGTACACAGAAAGTGATCCTGTAGATCATTTTCTAAATTAGCAACACATTATAGTGCATTGTTGCATATTCTGAGAGCTTTCAAAATTCTGATAGAGTTGTTAGAATATCTGAGTGCCTTGCAGTTGGTATGTCTGTATTTTCATTTTCACCACCTTTCCACTCTTTCCAAACAGCATTGTTAACATGAACTCACTCATGGTTCTTTCACTGCATTCCTGCAAATATTCTAGTTTGAACTCTATTATTCATGTTGGAACATCTACTGTAGCCCCTAATTGCGTTGTGTATTTTGTATTTAGAGTGTCTCCTGTTTATTATTTTTTAAATCTACTTCTTAACTCATAAGAAAAAGCTTTCAGTTGTGCACTTTCTTGCAAACCAAATTCCATATCTTCCATTCCCTTTCTAATCTTATCAGTCCTAGTCCCTTATAAGATAATCAGTTTGTTCTCTGTTCTTCCTAATATCCTTCTTCTACTGTCTGCCTTCCTATATGCTATTTCTTCCATGGAGAATGACCTCTTTCTTCTTTATACCTTATAGCAGTTCTTCTATTATCATACTGTTCTTTAAATCTTAGTGTTTGTTCTTTTATTATCAGGCTAGATTTTTTTCAAATGGGATAGTTTTATGGGTAGTGACTTTATTTCCTGTTACAACTTTGAACACCATATGTGTCTAACATTAGGCCTCGTGCATATAAACACCCAACAAATATTTCTCACCATGATTATTACTTTATGTTTTGCCTCATTCATGTTTATATAATGGTAAAATATACACAAATAAAAGTAATCATTTTAACCATTTAAAAGTAGATGGTTCTGTGAAATTAAGTACCTGTCCATATAACAATCACTACCATGCATCTATAGTACTCTTTAATTTCCCCTAACTGAAACTCTGTGCCCAGTAAATACTGACTTCCTATATCCACAGTGCTTGGAACTAACCATTTGACTATCCTCAAATTTGACTACTCTATGAACCTTATATAAAAAGAATCATACAATATTTTCCCTTTTACAGTTGGCTTCAGCTATAATGTTTTCAAAATTCATCATTATTGTAGCATTTGTCAAAAGCATCTACCTTTTTAAGTTTAAATAATAGTCCTCTGTGTTTATGCTCACTCTCACACACATACATACCATATCAATTCATCTGTTAGTGTATACTTTTGGCTATTCATCTGTCAGGGGTACTTTTGGCTATTGTGAATGATATGGTACTTTTGGCTATGAACAAGTAATCTGTTAATGATATGCTATGAACAAATAATCTGTTTTAGTTTCTGTTTTCACTATGCATGTATATTGAGGGAGCAAATGGTATTTTTATGTAGAATTTTTAAAGGAATCACTGTACTTGTTTCCCACATTTACTTTCCCACCAGCAGTACATGAGGGTTGTAACTGCTATACATATTTGTCACACTTGTTATATTTTGGGTGTGTTTGTTTTGCAGTAGCCATGCTAATGGATGTGAGTAGTATCTCAGTGGTTTTATTTTGTTTTTCCTTTAGGACTACTGACGTTAAGTGTCTTTCCTGTGCTTCTTAGCCATTTATATATCATTTTTTGAGATTGGTAGAAGTCCTTTGTACATTTAAATTGGGTGGTTTAGCTTTTTATTGCAGAATATGAACCCCTTATCAAGATAGGTGATTTGCAAGTATTTTCTCCCATTTCATGGATTGTCTTTTCACTATCTTGATGTGTCTTTTCATGTACATAAGATTTTATGGATTCCAAGTTACCTATATTTTATTTTGTTGCCTTGAATTTTGGTATCATAGACAAGAAATATTGCCCAATTCAGTATCATGAAACTTTCCTCTTATATTTTCTTTCATTAGTTTTTGTAGTTTTATCTAGTATGATTATTATTGATCCATTTGGAGTTAGCTTTTACATGCAGTATAATGTAAGGTATTTCCATATCTACTTTCCCAACACCATTTGTTTAAAAAACCTATACTTTCTCACTAAATAGTCTTTCCTTTTCTCTATTTGATTGAAAGATTTTCAGCGTTATCCATTGTCACAGTTGTAACTGTAATAATACATTTTAAGCCCTTTCCTGTCATTGTCTTAGTGTAAAGATTTAAAATTCTGGCTTATGTTTTCCTGCCTGTTTGAAAATAGGAGGGGGAACTTGGAATATATGTTAAAAACATCCATCATTTATCATCTTTCTATTCTTTTATTAGCAGTTGCTTTAGTCACCCTTTTGCTTTATGTTCTTGTTTCCTGAAACAGAAGTATTAGAATATTTTGCTGATCTTTTAAATAAAGGCTTCTCTGTAGGTCTGAAATTTTGATTTTAAGCCACTTCTCTAGACTTTTGATTTACCCCTTCTTTTAATGAGAATGTAGAGCTAAAGGATATGCCATGTACCTTTTACTATGGAGTTTGCATGACATCACATTGAATGAATGACTTTTGAACAGTTAAATGGAAGTGCTGGGAAACAATTTTATTATATCAGAGAATGTATTAAAATTTGTATGCCTGAGACTGTATTATCTTCATTATTTTGTCTACAATTTTGGTATTTTTTCATATATGAATGGAAGTTTCATTTTTTACATTTTACTTATTTGACTGAGATAATGTTGGCGTATCCCCATCAGGTATTAATGCACAATAGTGTACCCACTACCAACTCAATGTAGACCATTGTGCTTTCCCTCCTCTTTGTTCTTATCTGTTCTCCACCTTCTCTCCCCCTTGGTGTCTCAGTTTTATCGCCCAAATAGACATTTAAAACATAGCTTTATAGTTTTCTTCAATGGTAAAAAGCTTAGTGTGTAAGTATTATTGTAGTTTATAGTATTAAAATATTTATTTCCTTTATGCCTCAAGCCATAGAGACATAAATTCATATGCATTAAACCTTTTTTGCACTTGAAGAGAAAGGATCACCAAAGCTAGATGAAAAAATGAGGATAAGACAGAGAAAGAAGCCTCTCTTCTGGAATGCTGGACTTTTATATTCTAGAAAAGGAGTTTTTAGAGCTTTCATCACTGAATGCATCAGTGATAAACCGATATTTGTATGCTGCATTTATGTATTTTGATTCACATTACCAAAAAGTCATTTCCCCCCCATCTTTTGTGTTGATTACATAAACTTACCACTAGTTAATATAATATAGTTGCGATTTTTTTTTCACTTTGTAAGACATTTGTTATTGCTGTGCTTCTCTCCTGTCATTTTTTTTAACATTACATGAAAGGAAAATGATAATGGCTGATATTTACTGAATGTTTGATAAATTTGTTTTAGCTTCATTATTGTCTTTATATCGTCTATATCTTTCAAAGAAAGTGATGTTTTACTGGTGTATTTTATAAGGAACTATTATAGATGCTCAGGAGAAAAGTTAATATATCCAGTGATTTCCTAAGACCATTAAAGATTAATTCTCTTTGTGAAAAAGGTAGATAGCTAGATAAGGAGGAGGGAAATGTCTTAAGCTTTTGAATTTAGAACTACATAAATGTATTATCTTTAGTGTTAAGCTATTTATACTAAATTAAATTAGTATAAAGTGATTTATTACCTGAAATATTTTAATTTTGAATCCTGACTTGCATATTTAATGTTATTAAAAGTCTTTGTTCTATTTAGTATTATTTAAAATCAGAGTAGTAATTTTGTTTACATATAAATAGTCTGTATTGCAGAAGCAAATTAGATTGTTGCTATTTATTTTGATAAAAAACTGAATTACTGATAAAAAACTGAAGTGGATGTAGATTCTGCTTGCTGTAGTATTGGGGAAATAGCTGTTAACTAGAGAATTCCTTAGTTTGGAAAAGGGTCAGAAATGCTGTCTTCTTTGGAGACATTCAAATAATAGATAAAATAAAGAATGATGTGCTCAATGAGCTACAGTTTAAATAGAGGAAATTTAATGGGAAATGATTACATTAGTAGCAGATGGACTTGCTTCCTGGATTGCAGTCTTACTGGAAATCCTAGAACAGCTTAAATTTGTTTTTCAGATTTAGTGTCTGATAAAAAGATAGGCAAAGAGATTTGTTTATTTGGTGTACTTTTATGATTCTTACTATGTTTTTGGATATTTTATTTTTACTAGGCTATTTTTATGATTCCCACAAATCCACCACCAACATTCAGGAAGCCAGAACTTTGGTCGGATGACTTCACAGATTTTGTTAAGAAGTGCCTAGTGAAGAACCCTGAGCAAAGAGCTACTGCGACACAACTTCTACAGGTCAGTGATTATGCCTAGAAGGGAGGGATTATTTTCTTTATACCTTTTAGCTTTCTGACAGTGATGACGAGAATTGCCATGCATTTTATTAACTGATTTCTAAAGCTGTTAACCTCCCAAGAGACATGATTAATGCAGCCCCCCCCCACTCAAACAAACACACATACATATATACATCATTCTTCTTCTGCATGATCTCTTTGTTTCATTTTTAATTTTGTTTTTCTGTCTTAAGACTTTTCCCTCTTCTCTACTTTTTTTTGATCAACTAGTTTGCTCTTAAGTTATTTTAAGAAAAACTTCCAGTTGATTCTCATTTTGAAAATTAGTTTTTGTCTCTCTCTTACTGTTTTTCATGTAATTTTCCTGATGTATTATTTCTTGACCCAGCATTGCCCCTTTGAATTTTTACTCTGCTAAGATATATATAAATATAAGTAGGATCTCTGAATTGCTTGAAAAGATCATGTTGTAAATACTGGTTACAAAACTAAATGAAGAGTTTCAGTGTCCCTGCTAAATGTATCAGGTAGTTTTTAAAATTTATCTTGAAATTTAATGCAAATGGAAATAATTTTTGCTTTTAACAAGTATTTATATTTTCCCAACAGAATTTTGTCTTGTATTAACAAAACTTGTTTTTTGGAAAACATTTTTTTTGTTAAGTGACAAAAAGATTCAAAAGTGGTTCTTATAAAAAATTATTTTTCAAAGATGCTATTTTTAAAAAAGTTTTGTTGAAAGATATAGGAAAACATAACCAAATGTTTATTGATATGAAAATTTAATTTAGTAATCCTTTTCTAAAAAGGCAGTTTGACAGTATCTTATGTAAAATAGTGTCGTATATTCTTTGACCCAGAAATTACATTTCTAGAAATGTACCCCTATAGAAAAATTTAACAGTGTATGATATAACTAACATATGTAAAAATAATAAAACATTGTGTGAAAAAGCACTGGAAACAACACAGATGTCTATAATCAGTCTAGAGCCCAGCAAGAGGGATGAATAACAAATAAACACACTTGAACACACACACACACACGTATACATACATACAGATTCACATGTAAGTGCTTGTAGTGAATATTCTGAAAAACTAAAGAAGAAACTGGCCACTAAAAAGATGACTATGACTGAGAAACTGGTGTGATGGAGACATACTTTCCCCTCCTGAATGTCTCCTTTGAGTTTTGGGTTATATGCAAATACTGCTTTCAGTCTTAATTTATTTTGAAACATTATTTTGAAATATTGTCAGCATTTCAAAGGAATTTTGAGCAACTAAATTGAGAGTGTATTGGTATTATTATTGTACTGAATATATAGATTATTCGACTCCAAAGAAGTCAAGAAAGAAAGGGGGAAAAATAAGAAAAGTAGGACAAACCACAGATAGACAGTTGTGTACATATAAAGGAATTGGGCTGAAAAGATTCGTTGAAATTATTGAGTTGAGCTCCTTAGTAGTTTTATATATATATATAATAGTTTATTTTTCCATAATTTTGTGCATTTTTCCATCTCATTTGCAATCCCCTTGGGCTTCCCATCACCAAATCACCCATATGCCATCACCATAGTTCAGTGCATTTCCCTCCCCCCACTGTTTTTGATCCCATTCCCCACTCCACCCCCACAGAATGTCTCTGGTATATAGCTATTCATCATTATCATTATTTTCTCGCCTGTTCCGTTATATTCTTGCTATGAGAGAAACCATCTGGCATTTTTCCTTTTCTTTCTGGCTTATTTCACTAAGCATGATCTTTTCCAGCTCCATCCATGTTGCTGCAAAAGACATGTGTTTCTTTTTTTTTTTTTTGGTTGCTGAGTAATATTCCATTGTGTATATGTACCACATCTTTTTAATCCAGTCATCCATTTTTGGGCACTTGGGCTGTTTCCATGTCTTTCCATTGTGAATAAAGCAGCAGTAAACATGGGGATGCAGGTATCTTTTTGAATCAGTGTTTTTGTGTCTTTTGGATAGGTACTTAGAAGTGGGATTGCTAGGACGTAGGGAAGCTCCATGTTTAGCAGTTTGAGGAACCTCCAAACAGTTTTCCATCGTGGTTGTACTGGTTTGCATTCCCACCAGCAGTGCAGGAGAGTTTCTTTTTTTATCTGAATCCACTGGTCTGTATGTCTGTGCTTGGTCCAGTACCATGCAGTTTTGATTATTATGGCTTTATAGTATAGCTTGAAGTTTGGGATTGTAATGCCTCCATTCTCTTTCTTCCTAGTCATGAGAGTGTTGGCTATTCGAGGTCTTCTGTTGTTCCATATGAATCTCATCAATATTTTTTTTCTATTTCTTTGAAGAATGTCATTGAGATTTTTATTGGGATGGCATTAATCTGTATATTGCTTTTGATGGGATGGTCATTTTGATGATGTTAATTCTCCCAATCCATGAACAGGGAATGTCTTTCCATTTCATGGTGTCTTCCTGTATTTCTTTTAACAGTGTTTTGTAATTTTCTTTGTATAGGTCTTTTTACCTCTTTTGTTAGGTTGATTCCCAGGTATTTGATTCTTTTTGTTTTAGTTGAAAAGGGGATGGTTCTTTTTAATTTCTGTTCTTCTGATTGGTTGTTTGTGTTTTTACCTCTTTTGTTAGGCTGATTCCCAGGTATTTGATTCTTTTTGTTTTAGTTGAAAAGGGGATGGTTCTTCAAGGTGGGACATTAGGTTGCTTCTTTGAGTTATTTCTTGTTTCTTTATGTGAGCCTGTAACACTATATATTTTCCTCTTATAACTGCTTTTAATGTGTCCCATAAGTTTTGGAGATTTGTGTCATCATTGTTGGTCTTCTCCAGGTATTTTTTGATTTCTTCTTTGATCTCCTCATTGATCCAGTGGTCCTCCGGTAGTGTCAGTTTCAGTCTCCATGTGGTAGGTGGGTTTTTTGTCTTCCTCAGATGGTTTATGTCTAGTTTGATTCCTTCATGGTCAAAGAAAATAGTTGGTATGTTTTTGATCTTAGTGTATCTGTTGGTGTTTATCTTGTGACTCAGTATGTGGTCAATCCTAGAGAATGACCCATGTGGGTGCAGTATTCTATAGATGTCTGTTAAACCCATGTTGTCCAGGTCCTTGTTCAGAGCTTTAGTGTCTTTGCTTATTTTTTGTCTTGTTGATCCATTGTGGACAGTGGTGTGTTGAAGTCTCATAATATGTATGTATTTTCTCTGATATACATTTTCATAGATGACAGTAATTTCCTGATATATTTGGTGCTCCTTTATTTGGTACATATATGTTGATGATTGTTATGTCTTCTTGTATTGTCACCTTAATCATAATGTAGTGGCCTTCTGTGTCTCTTTTAACCTTTTTTATTTTGAAGTCTATTTTATCTTATATAAGTAGCTGTTCCTGCCTTCTTTTTTGGTCCATTTGTTTGTAGAACTGTTTTCCATTCTTTTATTTTCAATCTGTTTTTTATCTTTAGGTGTGTTTCCTGCAGACAGCATAACATTAGGTCCTGTTTTATAATCCATCCTGCAACTCTGTGTCTTTTTATTGATGAGTTTAAGCCATTTCCATCTAGAGATACAACTGATATACTGGCACCTACATTTGCCATTTTGGTCCTTTTCTATTTTATTCCTTGGTTTTGAACTGTTCTTGTTCATTCTTCTGTTGGATTTGGTTTGAGGACTTCTTGTAGTATTTTTTGGTGTGGGGGTTTAGTCATGACAAAATTACGGAGTGTCTGTTTGTCTGAAAATATCCTTATTCTTTCTTTATAGAGGAAGGATAGCTTTGCAGGATAGAGTATTCTTGGTTGGCATTTAAGAGTTTGGAGTTTGTTGAGTGTGTCCCGCTACTCTCTTGCCCGTAGTGTTTCTTCAGAGAAGTCTGATGTCTTGATCATCAGACTGATCAGTTTCCCTTTATAGGTTGTTTTTTCCCTCTTGTCATTCTCATTATCTTTTCCTTGTCTTGTATTCTTGGTAGTTTTACTATGATGTGTCTTGCTGTATTTCTCCTGTCGTCATAGTAGTTTGGTGTTCTTCTTGCTTCTTGGATATCTACTTTAATATCCTTCATATTAGGGAAGTTCTCTTCTATTATTTCTTTGACTATTTCTTGATTCCTTGGCCTTTCTCTTCACCTTCTGGGATACCTTAAACTCTGATATTTTCTTTCCTGTTGGTGTCAGATAGGTCTTGAAGTGTTTCTTCATTCCTTCTCCTTTTTATTTCTCTTTTTTTTTCTGTTTTAATTCTCTTTATTTCTGCGTCTTCGTGGGAGATGATTCATTCCTCCATTTCCTCTATTCTGTTTTCATTACTTTTCCCAGCATTCTTTATCTCCTCTGGTGGCCTTTTCATCTCCTGCATTTCTTCTATTTCTTTTTTTAATGTCTCATTTTCTTTCTTCAGTTCGTTGCTTGTCTCATATTATTTTTTTCTTTTTCATTTCTTTCATTCATTTCCTTGTTTGCATTCTTCAACTCCCTGATGGCTTGCCTCACTTCATTTTTTTCCCTTCTCATCTTCTTTTTGTTTGTTTATCATGATGATTCTGAATTCTCTATCTGGTAGACTGAGCAATTCTCCTATTTCTTTTGTGGTTTCTGCTGACCTCTTTGTGATGAATTGTCCCCCTGTGGACATGCTTGAATATTCTTTGTCTTCTTTTCCCTGTTTGTATTTTCTAATACTTTCTATTTGTTGAGACACGGCATTGCTATTATTTACCAGCATTCTTTTGGATGTTCTCTCTGGGATGGCAGACACTTCAGTTGTGGAGGTTTATTCTGAGCCTTGTTTTGTTTCACTATCTCCTGTTTTTCTAGCCCTTTCTGTGTGGAATTATGTCTGTTGTCTCTGCCAGTGACAATCAGGGGTCTCTTGTGATGTTCAGCTTCTTCTGGTAACTCGTTGAGTCCTTGTCTCTGGAATGTGCCTGTTGATCTTTGTAGCCTTCTGATGTCCCAGGTTCCCTCTATGCTTGGATGCATAGGAGGTTAGGGTGCATTAGAAGTGTTGCAGCTGGGCCTGTGGTTGATCCAGTCCCTGGTTTTGTTTATTTTCTGAGCACTGTGAACCTTGCAAGGCAGTGCCTTAGTGACTCACACGTCTTCCAGCCACTACTGTTCAGTAACACCTTGAGTCCTAATTCAGCATGCCCCCCCAGTGCAGGCTGTCAGTATTCCCTCTATGCCTCCAGGGCTCTTTGTGCCTACTCAGAGCAGTCTTTCCCTACCATTTGGAGGCGTGTTAATGGTCTTGTTTTTGGTACAGTCTAACCTTTTTCTCCCTCCCCCCACCCCTTTTATCTCAGGGGCTTTGTGAACTTGCTGGCCCCACCTTAGTGACTAATGCCAGGAACAAACCTCCAGGCCTATGCTGTGGGGGTGGGTGAAAGGGTTGCAAACCTTGCAGCTGCCCCAGTCACCAGATCACCAGATTTTCCTCCCCACCTACCGTCTCTATGTGTCCACTTGTGCAGTCTTTTCCCACAGCGTGGGTTCCACTCATGAGCCGGAAATGAGCAGGAAGCCTCCATCTGAGGCACTAGAGCCTGGGCGCTCCCTCATCAGTATTGCAGGTTCCACTTATCCTGTTTGTGGTGCTTCCAGATAGGAGTTCCCTTATCGGAACCCCCCAATTGCCAATTCTCCCTTAGTTACCTTCCTTCTAGTGAGTCCAGGGTGTTCTCATTTGGGTTGAAACTTGTAGCACCTAAGTCTATAGTCAGTTTTTATATATTCTCGTGCAAGCTTGGACGTAGTCGTTTCGGGGTCTTTACTCTGCCGCCATTTTGATCCGTCAGTGGCTTTGCTTAGCACCCAGGTGCTCCAGATCGGATCTGCAGTCTTTCCTCAGCCTGGGCTCCACTCACTGAGCTGAGCCGTCCCCCTTCAACTCCAGATCTTTAGCAAGGGGCAAAGCAGCTCCTGTAGCCTACCAAACTTCTAGGCATCTGAGCGCTCCCTGGATGGAGATCTCTTATAGGAACACCCCAACCACCAATTCTCTCTCAGTTATTTTCCTTCTAATGAGTCCATGGTGTTCTCATTTGGGTTGAAACTTGTAGTATGTAAGTCTGTAGGCTGTTTTTAGTCCTAAAGTCCTGCACAAGCCTGGACACAGTGACCTTGGTCTTTACTCTGCCACCATCTTGCCGTCTCCTCCCTCTTTAGTAGTTTTAAGTTAAAAGAAAATTGAAATTTCAGGAACTTTAAAAGACATTGTGTGAGTTCCTTATCTGAAAATGATTCTCATACCTCTACAACCTGAAAATTAGCTGCTACCCGGTAGTGGTCTCTCATGACATGTTAGGTTTGCTGACACATGTATTGACTCCAGGGGCTGACTTGAAGATTACTGTGTGATTTTGGCATTTGGGTTTTTGATTTACTAATTCAAGTGAGGAATCGAAACTTTCTCTTTATGTCCCTCTCAATTATAATTGTCTTAAATACCTTCTTTTCTACATTGAAGTTCATATCAAATAGTGTTTTATAATATTTGCTTTATCTTTTAAAAAATTGAGTCTACTCAAGAGAATCAGAGAAATCTATGTATTTACCCTGTTTTGCTCTTTCTAAAGAACAGTATTCCAGCATTCTTCAGAAGTGAATTGTTGGATGATATGATACTACTATTTCCATTTTTGAGGACCACAATACAGTTTTCCATAGTGTCTTTGCCAGCTTATGTCCCTACACTAGTGTGTAAGAATTTCTTTCTCTACATCCTTGACATCATGCATTTTTTTTAAAGGCTTTCCCAACAAGTGTGAGATGATGATATGTCATTGAGGTTTTGCTTTTTATTTCTCTCATGATAAGTGACCTTGTTCTCCTTTTCATGTACCTGTTGGCTATCTATATGTCTATTTTTTTGTTGGTTTGTTTTGGGTAGATGTCTATTCATATCCTTTCGCTATTTTTCCATCAAATTGTTTGGGTTTTTTGGTTACTGCTGCTATTGATTTGTATGAGTTATTTATATATTTTAAGTGTTTATTTTTAAAGATTTATTTATTTATGCTTACAGAACTGGGGTACAGGCCAGAGGTGTGGTGGGTGAGAGGATTCACCAGAGACAGAGTGGAGAGCAGAACAGGCAGATTGAAAAAGTATACTGCTCAGGGGAGCAGCGGGATGGTCAGAAGAGGTCTCCCTTGCCATGTGTGTCAGCTCCCTAGCCGGGGATCAAACTTGTGCTGCAGTGGCTTCAGAGAGCTTCATAATGTGGTGCTTTAACCCATTGTGCCACCAAGGAGAGCCCTTGTTTACTTTTTTTACATATATGATTTAAAAATATTTTTTTGCAGTTTGGTAGGATGCCTTTTTCATTTTGCTGATCATCTCTGTGCAGAAGCTTTTTAGTTTGACATAGTCCTACTGATTTTATGTTACTTTTGTTGTCTGTACTTTGGTTTTGATTATATTATTCTTTATATCTCTTTTTATATGAAGCAGTATCTCATTGCTCATCTTGGACTTTTAATCCCAGTTCTTTTAAGTACACCTTCTTCTAGATATATGAGTTAGAAGTTAGATTTATTTGTAGTACATTTTATGTAAACAGCATGTTGTTGATTTTAGTATCTTTTAGTACTTGAGTAAAATACTATTTAATAAATGAAAAATCAACTCAGTTAACTTTATTGGCATGTAATTGTGTGCTAATAAAATATTAATCATAATTGTCATATTTTATTTTTTTGTCAGTTCATTTCCTCTGGTTTTTGTTTTTATCCTGTTCTTTTTGTTTTTCTCTGCAGTTTGAATTTTATCATCTGTTACTTTAGCATAGCCCTTAAAAATATCCTTTAAAAATCAGCTGATATAAAAAAAAATCAGCTGATATGTTGTTAAATTTTCTCTGCTTTTCTGTCAGGAATGCTCAAATAACATGGCTTTTCCTTCAAACACTCTTTTAAAGAGTTTAAAAACAACCCCATGTTGCTTAAGACTACATCTGCAAGTTAGGTAGTGAAAGCATGAGTACAAATGAAATCACACATTCCGTTTTATGAGATTTAGAATATTAAACTCTATAAACTAATGGTAGTAAATCACTGTTTTGTCGCATTACAATGAACTATATGAAAGTAAGTTTGTAGTAGACTCTATGAACCATATAGGTACTTCGGTGTTTCTTAAATACTGAATTAATAAATCTATGGCTTAGAGCGTTGGCTCAGTGATGTCACTGAGAAAATAAAGTAGAATAAAGTTAAGTGTTCTGCACCTTTTAAAAGAAACATTTCTATTGATTCCATCTTTTGCATTGTTGATCTTCTCCCTGTAACTAGTCACTAAATCTTAGGAATTCTTTAATCACATTTACTATTTATCTATGTGGCAACTTGTTTTTTAATCTAGGTTCTCAAAAATTTACACTTTCTCCCTAATTCTATTTCATTTCTAGGCTTTGCTGCAAGGTTATGCTACAAAAGACTTTCTTTTTCATACATTGCTTTACTGTTTAATTCTATGTCTCTCAGACAGAATTCAGGCATTTCATCCTAAATATTTATCCTTACTGCCTACATCTAAACTAAGAGAACACCATTTTTCTAAACAGCATTTGTTGTAGCTAGACAGATATCCCTACTGTTCTAGTAAATATCCCTGTTTTTGTGTATTTCTCTTTTTGCCTTCTTCATATTTTTCTTCTTCAATAAAATGATCTAGGACCCTCCCTGGTGGTGTAACCGGTTAAAGCATGGCACTATGAATCTATCGCAACCTCTGCAGCATGAGTTCAATCCCTAGGCAGGGGTGTGATTCACATGGCGTGGCAGACCTCTCCTGACCTGCTCGCTGCTCCCCTCAGCAGTGTATTTAAGTTGATCTGCCTTTTCTGCTCCCTATTCTGTGAATCCCAAGCTCCCCCCCCCCACTTCTGGTCTGTATCCCAGTACTGTATGTATAAATAAATCTTTTTTTTTTTTTAAAGATCTGTTTCTTCTACATAAGGTAACTGAGATTACCTTACCTATTCTACCTTTATAACTCTATATGTACTGTGCTAAACCATCATGAATATAACTTGGTAATTTTTTGCATATGTCCAAAAACCCCCCTGGTATACTCTAGTCACTATTGCTGTTGTTTATTGTGAATTTTAGCTAACTCAGAGAGTTTAACTTGATAAGGGTGGCATTAAAAAAAAAGAAGCAAAAAGTTATTTTATATAAGGTATAGACACAAAATAATATTTGCTTCTGTAAAGTACTTTTATTGCCATCATTTCCTTTCATTGGAAAAGTCTGAATTATCCAAAACATGACTGACTTATGAAAGAAGTTAACAAAATAGTTAACATCCTTTTGACCACTGATTCTGGCTGCCAATTTAAGATCAGTTCAGTTCTGTAGTAAATAATAGAATGATTTTACTTGTATATGTCAGAATACCAATAGTTCTCTATTGATTTTTGCCTTTTTATCCTACCTAATCTATAACTTCATCAGACAATTATATCTTTAATGATACAGGTTTATTTACAGGATTGCATTTTTGTGCATGGGCTCTAATTGTTTTTTTAAAAAGCTAATGGATGTAAAAGCAAAATGTATTTCTAAAGCAGCTGAAATGTTCTATTTTCATAACTTATGCACTTAATTCTAGGTAAAAGAGCAATCATTATAACCAATGAATCTTTCTAGCACTTATGAATGATTTTCAGTTTTTAACATAGAATAAAGAGGAATATTTTTAATTTATATCATTGGATTTTACTTTTGTAGCATCCTTTTATCAAGAATGCAAAACCTGTATCAATTTTAAGAGACTTGATTACAGAAGCTATGGAAATCAAAGCTAAAAGACATGAGGAACAACAGCGGGAACTGGAAGAAGAGGAAGAAAATTCGGTTCGTAAATACCTATAAAAGTTAATTTTTTTCCTTGAATTATTTTTCTATTATTTTGGCTTTCTTCTTTAACTATATTAATAACACTGTTTTTTAGTCAAGCAAGGTATCACTTATTTATTAAACCTTGAAATTCTTTTATTTGCATTATTTGTTATTTTTTCTTGATGTCTTAAGAATTAAGTGATTGGTGAAATGGAAGGTTTATATATTAGCTTATACAATATCTATTTGAGATTAACCTTTGTGTTTGTTGGATACATATTGTTTTGGGGTTCAATTTTGTTTTCTGTCTTCTAGAACTTTATTTTAATTGTAATTTATGCTGCAGATAAAGAGAACTACTCAAGATGGGTTACTAAAGAAATCAGAAGGAACATACAAGACCAAGCATAATAAACCAGTTTATTCCAATTTATTCTCTATTAGTGAGTCAGGACATTGTAATAACAATATAATTATATCTGTATATCACGTTTTCTAATGTCTTAATGCTTATATTCTTGCCAAGAATTTTTTCTTTGTTTCAAATTGTAGTATTCTTTTTCCTAGTTAAAAGATAGAGAGATCAGTATCTCTTGTTAATCATAAATGACCTCATATTATTATAAAAATCCAAAGACAGGTATTATTTTATTCTTTTATGAGTAGAAAATGTCTTTAATAACATCATCTATATTTTACCATAGAAGTTTATTTTTTTTATTTTATAATTTCATATATAAACAGTATTGTTTTACAAATTCAAATTCAGTTTTAATTTTAAACACTGGTTATCCAATTAGAATTTCTTTTGCAATGCTTTTAACCTTTACACAAATAATTAAGCCTTGTGTCTTATGCAAACTCAGGACAGGGAGAAATGCACATCTTTGGAGAATTGATTTAAGATTATTTTTTTGATATACAGCTACTCCAGTTTTTCATTTGGCAATGACTGTGGACTGCTTTGCGACAAAGGAGTTAAGCTCATATACATCATGTGAATTTTTTCGCCAATGACCTTTCAGACTTTTAAAAAGCATTCTTATTATAAGAGTGATTTTTTATAAGTTTGTGATGTCATATTAGTTCCATAAAGATAAATATTGTTAAGGGATAATATAAAGACTTTGGTTCTCAAAGAATTTTATGATTCCCACCCTGGGCTGTCTGGTTAACATTTAAACCTCCAAATTAACTTTTGTAAATTTTAGTTTTTGTATTTTTTTTTGTAGTTTCAAAGAAACTTGTCACATATTTCATTTAATCTTTTAAAAGAGCAAAATCATTCATGTATATATTACTATCCCACAAGTGATACTGGGTTAGTAAAGAAGTAATTTATCAAAGTTCGCAAAGCTGGTGAAGAACCAAAATAAAACTAGTTTTTTTTTTTTTTTAACTTTCAGATCTCCATTCTCCTTCATTAATACAATTCTTTATGTTTACTTTTCAATCAAGTATTCATTAATTCTACTGAAAGTAGATCACACTGGTTTGTCATAGTTACACAGCCACTGATGAGATTATATTCTCAAAAGTCTAGTCTTTGCCCCTCTGTGGTGGTACCTATCTACCTTTCCTTCACCATATACAAGTTCCTTATGGGTGCTGGGCCAGTGAGCTGTCTTTAAGTAGCTATCAATGGATAGGTGATTATTTTTGCGTTTATCTTATTTTCATGTATCTAAATATAGTCTGGTTTCCATTTTTGATGTCTAGGAAGTCATTGACCACCAAAACTTAGCAATTTTTACTAGTTTTTAAGACCTGCTACAGCTAACTTTTATTACTCTCTGCTATTTTGGTGATTTCTTTATTATTTTTTCTCTGCATCATTGAGATTCAGCATGTTGATTTTCTTTCTTTCTTTTTTTTTTAAACATGCCAAACAGCTTTCCTTACTCAGGACCTTTGCATTTGCTGTTATCTCTGCTTGAAACATTCTTCTTCCCATGAAATCATTGGATGTCTTAATTCTTCTCATCTTTTGGATCTCAGCTATAAACAAACAAGGACCCTGAAAATTAGCAGCTTAAAAACACACACATTTATTATCTCAAGGTATTAATAAGTAGATTTTTCAGGTATGGCTTACTTGGATGATAGGCCAAGATCTTTCATGAGGTTTTAGTTTAATAAACTTGGTCTTAAGTTACAGTATAGATCACCATATATAGCTGGCAGGCTGTCTAAGTTCCTTGCCATGTGGTAATCTGCATAGATTTGCTTAAGAGTTTTCACAGGTTGGGTAACTGGCATCTCACAGAATGGAGTATCCAAGGGGCAGAAAAAGAAGGAAAGTCACAATGCTTTTTTAACACAACTTCAGAAATTGCACAATCTAACTTCCCCACATTCTGGCTGTTAAAAGAATTCACTGACCATGGAAAGTGTTGTAGTAGCCAATTCTTACAAGCTGCCAGTAAGTTGGCAAAATCTGAAAGTCAACTTTTTCAAAACATTGGAATCTAACAAAAACTATAGCAACTGGTTGGGAGTAGGTAGGGAGTACTTAATGAGGAAAAAGCTACTAAATTTTCAAGATAAAGCATTGTGACATTTTGACATATGTACTTCCCGTCCCTATTTTCTAGTTCAGTATACCTTTCATTGGGAAAAAAAAATTTACCAGTCTCTTCAAATGATTTTGCTAGAGCAACTGGATAGCCATAAGTAGAAAATGAGGTCAGACATCTACCTCTTATTATATGGTGGCCTTTTAATATGAGGCCTAATTGGATGGTTCACCAACTTAAATACAAAAGCTAAAATAGTAAAGCTATTAGAAGGAAATGTGGGGTTAATCTTAAATAAATTACAGTTGGCAGTAATTCTTAGCTATGACACCAAAAGTATGAGTAACAGAAGAAAAACAGTAAATTAAACATTAGCAAACTTAAAAACTCTGTAAAGCCAATGATCACAAAATGATGTAGAGAAAATATCTACAAATTATATATCTGGTAAGGGTCCAGTGTCCAGTGTCCAAAACATATAAAGAACCCTGACAATTTGATAAGAAAAAAACCACCATCTAACTGAAAAGTGGGCATAGAATTTGAGTAGATACTTCTCCAAAGATACACAGTGACTAACAAGCACAGGAGATGATAGTCACAACCATCAGTCATTAGAGGAATATAAATCAAAACTACAATGAGATAACGCTTTATACCCACTCTGTATGCTATGATTAAAACAATAGAAATGTAAATAAACAAAAAAAAAATCCAGAAAATAATGAGTGTTGCTGAAGATACGGAGAAATTGGAGCCTCAGGCACTGCGTATGGAAATATGATGGTACAGCTGCTGTTGAAAACAGTTTACTCCTTAAAAAGTCAAATATAGAATGCCACACAATCTAAACAATTCCTCTTTTAGATGTCTACCCAAAAGAATTGAAAACAGATAATCAAATACTTTTATATGATGTTCACAACAGCACTATTCACAGTAGCCAGAGATTGAAACTACTACTATCAACTGATGAATAGAAGAAAAGGAATGAAATGTTGACACATGCAACTAAGCAAGTCAAAATAAAAATGTTGGATAATCACATAACAGATAATTTCATAACATAAAGTACTTAAAAAACAAAACAAAACTAGAGGACATCCTGAGGTTAAGAGGGAGGGGGAGGGAAGAGGGTGAGGGACACAAGGGATGGTATTGGGGTGGGGAATGATAATTTTTTTCCACAAAAAAGAAAACAATAATACCATTAATTATATACTATTTGAAGTTTACTTCAATTGAAAATAAAAATAAGTATTTTAATCTGCCCCATAGTTGAGCAGAGGGGTGTTTTGAGGGGAGAACTGTCAGGGAATTTATGAATGTTTTTAACAGTAACAGATTGTTCTATAGCTGCAAATTATTTACATTCTTTGTTCATGCAGAATACCTGCCTACTAAGAACTTCCCTCTGTCTCTTCATAACATCAGCTCAAAGTCCAGTATTTAATCTTCTGAATCTCTTTCAGAGAGAAAGGAGTGTACTTGAGTCCAGTTAATCTCAATCTAAAGACCTGTGAATTGAAGGGATAAGCAGTTGACCACCACCTATCCAGTATACATTGGTGGGTCAAGCATAAGATTATCATTGTAGACTGTTCCAAAAGAGGGCAGGCAGGAAGCACAATAGCCAACTAGACCATTGCATGCTGGAATTTTGCCAAGGAAGTGTTAGCAGTTGCTTGATTAGCTCAGTTTTATTCCTGCCCTGAGTAATTCTCCTTGACTCTTTGCTCTATCTCCTGTGTTCTTTCTTCTGCCCTCAGAGTCATTCTTCCTTTTTTTGCATGAAGCTACCATGTAATCCTTTTGTTAGACTGCTTCCTGACAAGTAGAAGTTTTGGAGTCTCTTCAGTTTGTACTGCCTCTGCCTGCAAAACATGCTGCTGATGCCAATAGAGCTGTGGGTCTGTTATATATACTATTTCCTGTTGTGGTTCACTCCATTAGAAAGACTGTACCCATGAATTTTATTGAGATAATTGCTTCTCTGGCCTGTGCTTTTCCTAATACAACAGTGGGATAATGCCCTCAAACTTGTAAAATGTGCTATTATTTGCCGTGGATTTTTCTGAAATCTTAACAAAGTATTTCACAGTCACTTTTGCATCTTGATTTTTAGACCATTAAGGTTTAAGTAGTAGCTTTTTCATGTTGTAGCATTGTTTGCTACAGAGGCAGGGATTTTTTAGAATAAGCAAATCCTGTTTCTCTTTTTGTTTAATTGTCCTTTCTTGGACTTTTCTCTCGGCTTTTACATTTTATTATCAACAACCAGAAGAAATCAAGAAAGCATCATAATCTACCTGGAAATCTTTTCAGGTGGGCACCCACCTCATTAGGTACTTTGCCCTGTTAACATTCAACCTTAATACAGACAATAGTGTTCTTAATGTTTACCACTATGTAACAAGAATGTCCTTACTTTCCTGGAGTCTTCAAAGGCCATCCAGTTATAATAGTATTTCATGCCTCTTCAGGCTATTACAAACACTC